AATCGTTTGAACTTCTCATTTGCCTACTTCTTATTAGCTTACCGTACAGGTTATCAAACTAGGTACTCCTCTGTTTTCGCTATGTTTTGAAATGTAGTGCGAGAGTAAACAACTAAAAACACAAAAGCGCAGTTTGAAATTACTTCAAATGATACGCCCACAGAGTTCGTCATGACTCAGGTGAGGAATTCAGCACAACCAGTTTACCAAAAGTGACTGTGTGATTAGTCAATTTCATGAAATATATTATACCTTTGATAGAATGAAAGGAAACTCTGAGGAGTAGCATATCGAAAGACCATAAGTAGTAACATGAATGTTGTCATTCCCAATAAACAAACCCGTAATAAATCTGATAGGTGGTAGTTAGAGAGAAATAAAATTGGTGACTGAGCACGGACAAACAGTCACTTAGCCCACTGACATAAAAATCTGATTTCCTCTCCTCACATTTATTTCTACTCCTGTCTCATCGACTGTGACTGCTTGTAACCCTGTTGAACAGAGTCTGATGTTATACTGCCTCTCCATTCTGAGTGGAGAATGCTGGACTTGATGTGACGTAATCAGCCTCAATAACGTATCAACTTATTATCATAGAATATCCGAGAGGGAAATATTTCAAACCATCCGGAGGCTACTGCCAGTTCCAAAACCGGATAAAGGAGAAGGGTTGGGCATGGGGTTATCAAACCCATCCCGCAGAACACTAACTTGCTAAAAAAACAATAGCCAGAAAAAATTATTCGAACCTTTTAAACTCTGCCCTGGGAATCAGAAGGTCTTCATTTAGAAGAACTATGACGCCTCATGATGAAAGCCGAGTTCCCTCGGAAGTTACGCGGCCAATGCCCCTTCTGACAACCAGAGCAATCATTTATTTAGGTACATGGAATGTTCGTACAATGTGGGACATCGGGAGAGCCTTCCGAATTGCTGCAGAAATGCGGAGATACAACCTAGAGGTGCTTGGGGTCAGTGAAACACATTGGACGCAAGTTGGACAACAACGACTAACTTCAGGAGAACTTCTGTTATACTCCGGCCATGTAGAAGAAAGTGCTCCACGTACACAAGGAGTTGCATTGATGCTGTTCAAGCAACCACAAAATTAACTTATAGGATGGGAATCTCATGAACCAAGGATCATTAAAGCCTCCTTCAAAACAGAGAAAGAGAGCATTTCAATGAACATCATCCAAAGCTATGCGCCTACCAACGACTACAATGAAGACACTAAAGATCAATTCAACAATAGGCTGCAGTCAATAATCGAGAAGTGCCCAACAAAGGACCTGACCATTCTGATGAGAGATTTCAATGCCATGGTTGGAACGGACAACACTGGATATGAAGATACCATGGGACGACACGGACTGGAAGAAAGGAACGAAAATGGTGAGAGATTCGCAAACCTCCCAATCGATGTTGGCCCACCAACAATTGAAGAGATAAGCATGGCCATCAGGCAAATCAAGATTGGCAAAGCTGCAGGACCAGACAACATTCCGGCAGAGGCACTAAAAGCAGACGTAGTGGCAAATTCAAGGATACACCACATTCTCTTCAATAAGATTTGGGATGAGAAACAAGTACCAAAAGACTAGAACGAAGGACTTCTGATCAAAATATCGAAGAAAGGCGATCTCAGCAACTGTGATAACTACAGAGGCATCACTCGTCTCTCAATATCGGAAAACGTCTTCAACAAGGTACTGTTAAACAAGACGAAGGACTCCGAAGACGCCCAACTTCGTGACCAACAGGCAGGATTCTGTAAGGATAGATCGTGTACCGACCAAATCGCAACTCTACGGATCAGTGTGGAACAATCAATTGAATGGAATTCATCACTCTACATCAACTTCATTGACTACGAAAAGGCATTTGATAGCGTGGACAAAATAATACTATGGAAACTTCTTCGACACTACAGCGTGCTTCAGAAAATAATCAATATCATACTGGATTCCTATGATGGATTAAACTGCAAAATCGTGCATGGAGGACAGTTGACAAAGTCGTTCGAAGTAAAGACCGGTGTTAGGCAAGGTTGCTTACTCTCACCCTTTCTCTTTCTCCCGGTGATCGACTGAATCATGAATAAATCAACATCTGGAAGGAGGCACAGGATACAGTGGACATCTAGGATGCAGTTAGACGATCTAGACTTCGCAGATGATCTGGCCCTTCTATCGCACACGCAACAAAAAATGCAGGAGAAAACGACCACTATGGCAGCAGGAGCCTCAACAGGAGTAGGTCTCAATCTTCACAATGGGAAAAGCGAGATTCTCCGATACAACACAAAATGCACCAATCCATTCAAAATAGACGGAGAAGATTTGGAAGATGTCAAAACCTCTACATATTTGGGCATCATCATTGATGAAGACGGTGGGAGAGGACAGACCAGATTGTAGCGGAGGAAGAAGTTACACAACACTGACCATGCCTGGAAGTTTGAGCCATGCCATTCGATTCAATTCAATTCATTGGCCCCGCGTTTTACATAGTTGACTTTTTTCCGTTGAATATCTACTTTCTCAGTTATCTCGTGTTCAGCTTTGATGATTGTGTGGTTACGAACGATGTCACTACAGGTTCCCTGTTCACTCACGTAAGGCAAATTCAGACAAATAGAACGGGTACAAGTACATGTAGACTTCGAACAACGGACAGATTCACAAAGGATCTCAGTAAAGATAGGCTTCATTATCAAACCATTTCATTTGGGAAATTTGTATCCTGTATGAAAAGTTAATTCCGTTTTGCGATTTCTCTTCGACAAACAAAAGACGGAGTTTTCAGTTGCTATATAACAACTGTCCAACCAACAGCGGTCATGAACTGATTGCATAACCCTCGCGTATAACACATATTGACTCAAGCTTCACGCTCGACCGATCGGAAAGTTAAAAAATTAGCCTACGGACAAGATCGGTTTGTCTGAAACATCAGAATCACAACAAGGACAGTACTCTCAGACCAAATATGGCTTGCTCTGCTGCACGGAGAGAAACGGCTTCACATCTGGTGACACTGCTTAGTATGTAATCCCGTATTCCATAAGTCAAAACATAGTCCTCGACAAACAGCAGATGACGCACATCACGCTGGTCGTTGAGGAACGCCAAGGCGATAAATCTTCAGACTACCAGGCCCTAGCACTTTTTCAGTGCCCTCAAATGTCATAGAGTCCTTGATATACGACGGTTTACGTAACTACTTGTTAACCATAAAATTCTTTTTATCCCAACAACAAGGTTTCAGGAAATGCCGGTATTTCATAACCCATCTGCAGTGTGAGGTGGACAGATGGGCCAATACTCTTGACTGCGAAGGGACGGTTGATGTGAAATAGCTTGATTTCTTATAGCTTATAATGAAGCCAATCATTCGCGTGTCTCAACGATAAGCTCAAAATATTAGGTATCAAGTAACCACAAATAAAATCAAAAATTTTCATCATGACAAAACACAAAAAACAAAAAAATACTCTTTTAAATAAATATTCCTCTGGTTCTATAATAATAATAATAATAATCCACAAATTGCCGGGTTTTGGGAAATACTTCGTTTGAAATTATATCATGGTGACTTACGATTGTTTGTGAAATAACAATATTATCAATGTAGAGACGACTGATGCGAAGTGTTTACTTGGACACGTCTATGTATTAAATGGAATTGTAAGATTCATAATCGGAAGAAGTACGGGCAATATAGAGTAGGAGAGATAACAACTCAATTTCAAAGCAAGACAAATACTTGGTCAGAAACCACATGCTATGTGGAATGATTTGGGGTGCGTAAGTTATTTAATAGGAGTGGGTTATAAATGTATTTTTTTAAAGCTTTTGCGAGCGTTATAACAATAAAAGGTATGTACAGGATAGGTTTAGGCCATGAATATCGGACAGTAAAGTTGTACATCTCAGTCCTACAGGAGATCATCCGCCTCCCGGATAGCTCAAGATTACAAGTACACCTTGCTGACGAGTGTCATGTAGCACGAAATATAGATTCACTGTTCCTGATCACATCATTTGGGTAGCAATTTCCTACAGGTGTAACTCTAAGCTATTCTCTAGACTGTCGAGCACAGAGTCTTGCTTTAGCCAAAGTCAGAACAAGTAAGCTATTTGGTTTGGTAAACTTTATCTGTTTCTAAAACATAAATTAACACCGTTGGTGTGCAAAACAAACGGTACAGTCTATCAACACAGGGAAAAACAGAGACATAAATAACATACCGAACAGTAAATAGAGGATAGAAAAAATGAGTCAACAAGGCAATTATTGTTTTATAATGAACATAAAATGGTGATTGGTGAATAAACAAAACACAGTCATACAAGGTAAAAGAAAGTTAATGTGGTGGTGGGCGTTTCACTTTATCATTGGTGAGTTCGGTTATCTATCACACTTTACACATCAACTTTACTAAACAGAAACCAGCTGAAGTTTCTCGGTCATGCATCTGAGTCAAATCACCATCGGGTACACCCGTCTACGCATCCCTCCCAAGAACGAGCCGATTAGGATAAAATACCACTCAACGTCGGAAAAAATATTTTCAACCTGCTTCATTATTGACTTCTAGTTTGACTGTGCTTGAGATTTTTTGATTACAAAGTCGTTACAGACAAACGTGTTAACAAGCCCTGAACATCCGTGAAATCGTGAAGTTCTTAAGGACTCAAGACGATATTTCATTTGATTTGGCTGACATTTCTATTTTTCCACTTAGGTCTATATCTGAATTCAGTGATACCCCCCAGTCACGGAATTCCAGCAAGTGAAGGCTTCTTACATTTTGTTCACAAACATTTGAAATATTTTGAACCCGAAAAGTAACGTAAAAATGAACCATTTTAAATACTTAAAAGATTTCAGTTTGTGATTGAGAATAAGAATAACACGTTAGTGATTCTGAGAGCCTGTAAACGTTATCCATTAAATGAAAGTTAGTGTATTGTAGTTTGAAATGACTTTTTGCTAACGGTAATCGTGCGGGCTTCATAATTTAAGTCTCCCTCAAGGTCATACTTTTGGGACTGTGCAAGCCAATATTGTTTTGACTGGTCGCCTTTCGGAAACTGAACTCCAGAAGTAGTTTTTTGTCTTGTTAATGTTTTCTCTTATTTATGTTATTTATGGTCACTATCGGTATTTATTGTTCTCATTTACGTTGTTAGAGCTTTCTTTTTCATCAGAATAAGAAGTGCTATCACATCATCAAAATACATGTGTACTTGTTAGGTTGAATTAGAGTTAATAAATAACAATTAAGCATGGCCCCTCATTCTATCGAGGTAACTCTGCGAGACAGGCTATATGTGTATTAGACTGAGACAGAATAGTATGTTAAAGGTGTAGTTATGAGACGTATAGCATTTTAATAACTCGCTAGTTATTGTTAAGACTACCCTGGCAATAAGTTATGTTATTAGCCGGCTGACTTCGGTCGCTGACGAACGAGCAAATAGCTTCTGGATCACGGAACATATCTAAACATCATGTAGTCAGTTAACGGTAAAATACATCATTCTAGAGATTTCTTGCTCATTGACTGTATTGTGAATTAATTAACTTTAAACAGCATAATAAGCATTTTTTTGGCGGTGATAAAACCGAATAAAAGGACACAGTGATCTGGATTTATGTCAGCTTTGATATCGTGGTTTTGGCTGATGTGGATGTTAGGATTTTAAGGTAATCAGTCGTTCGGTTACAACGTAGGACCGGGCTCATATATGCATCGGTTAAAGTTGCCATACCTCATTAGCACAACAGTATGAACACCAAATTCATAGTAGCAGTTATTTCAATTGTAGTAATATATAAAAACAAGGTCGTATATAAGGATGTGATACATAGGGGAAGGTTTAGTGGTTAGACATTTTGTGGACGACCTTTGAGTGATGCCAAAGTGACCTTGAAAATGTCCACCTACTAACTAGGACCAGATGAGGGTCATAAACTACGATGAGGAACTAGCATTAAGATCTACAGTTGACGATTAGGGTTGAGAATTTATGGTTTTCATCACGAACTAACAGCAATAATGCCAAAAATGATAATTTGTCAAATGTATGGGTAAATTTCGTACTAAAATCCATGACTCGTCGTATATCTGACTGGTTTTTCTGTAAATTATAGTCTTGCCCCTACGCCATTGTGGTCGATTCTCAGCCATGCAACTCCGTCTCCAACCGCTGGTTACGATAGTCGTGCGGCCCCCAACCAAGTAGTCTGCATATTGCAATATGGCTGGGACCAGATGTTAGTGAGTTCAAAGACTGATGCCACGTTTTGGTTTGACCGCTTCTAACTTTCTTCTATCCGTCTTCAACAGACGGGTCTTTGGGATTCATGCAGCCTTGCCGGTCACCACTTGAGATTGCGAAATCAGATGACGGTTCGCCATATGCTCTGACTTGACTGATAGTGGTCGAGCAAAGAGCCTTCACAAGGTTTATGTACTTCTGAGGTACACCTTTGAATGATGGACACTGCTACATAATCTCGCGGTCTACCGAGTCAAATGCTGCTTTTAAGTCAAGAAAGACCACCATTGTCGGACGCCGATAAGCATGCCTGTGTTCTAAAGTCTGATGAATGGTGAATATGTGGTCGATGCAGCCAAGCCAAGTCTGAAACCAACCTGATTTTCTCGTGTTTGCAGTTCACGAGTGTTTGTTAGGCGTCCGATAATGATTGAGGCTAGTATTTTAGATGTCATGTTGTGTTAGTCAAACCAATCCCTCTATGGTTATCATAGGATGATTTTGACCCCTTCTTATATATTAGACAATCAGCGATTGCGACCAGTCAGATGGGATTGCGTCCAGTTCCCAAAATTTAGCTAAAATATTAGTCAACCTAATTGCCAATACTGGACTACTCGACCGTTGTTGCTACCTTGACGTGGTGGTCGGGCTTGCCTATCGTGATGAAGCAACCGAGCTATACTGGCTGGAACAACTGTTCCTCAAGGTCCTACCATGTCAGACAGGTTGGTTGAAGAAAGGTAAGACTAAAAGCAACAAACCCGAGGTCCGAAGGCGAAGTCGTACTGCTGATTGTACAGAGGTGTGACAGCAGTAAGGTGTTTCCTTCAGACAACCAGCATGACAGCGATGTTGCCTTCCCACAAAGAGGGCTGGGGCTAGAAAAAGTCAACCCTAAAAATGCACACCTCGCCTTATCCCACGGATATCCGTCTCCGGCGGTAAGGTCCCAAAAAGTACGGAGCTAATACAAAAATTACCCATAAAAAGGTCGTGTGTGACCGACCTCAAGCAGTTGTCCCTTGGGCACTGCTGTCACGCTTCCAGGTCACTAAGACCACCTCTAATCCAATTTCCTTTTCAGGTGCCTCCAGAACAACCCTTTCACGGTGTGGGCAACTGGGGAGTGACGACCGCTCTCATACCTCAAACAGCACTCAAAACCACTGTATTCCTAATCAACCTCCGTCTTCACTCCCTATTACTCCTCCTACATCGACTTTCACCTCTAAAATTCCTTTTTCGGCTTCCTACTCAAATGTCACCATAGCCAACGATTCTAGTGCTCAAAACTCTGTCCCAGTTCTACTGAAACCTCACACCCTATGTCAAATCGGTCAGCAGGCTTCCTTGGCTAGAACCCTAGAATCTCGTACCATTGATGTATGCTGTGTCTCTGAAACACGCATACAGGATCCCAGTGTGGTCATTCACTTGACCTCACCTCGGCAACACGGAGAGCCAACGAGATACACCCTCCGTGTATCTGGTGACGCGATGGCCAGCTCTCGTGAACTGGAAGGAGTAGGGATAGCACCAAACGTGAGGGCGGAACAAGCACTGTTAGAGTGGATCCCTGTGAACAGTCGCATATGTGCTGTTCAGCTAAAAGGCTCCGTAAGAACTCGGAAGGATAGGGACACACGTCGTTGCCTTTTTGTCGTTTCTGCCTACGCTCCCACCGACTTCAGCTCAGATGAAGTGAAAGATGAATTTTACAGAGAGCTATCTGAACTTCAGAAAGCTAAACGTTCAGACATAGTACTCGTAGCAGGTGACTTTAATGCCCAGATAGGTAGTTTAAACCAAACAGAAAGGCATTTAGGTGGGTATTTTAGTATTCCGGCACAACGAACAGATAATGGTGATCGTCTTCTGCAACTGTGCTCAGACAATCGTTTATTTTTAGCAAACAAATTTTAAGCATAAGGAGAGACATCGTCTAACATGGCGACCCCCTACACCAAACCAACGATGGACTTAAATAGACCATATTGCCATCAGTCATCGTTGGAGAGGGTCGGTACAAGATTGTCGCTCATTCTGGAGTACCTGCTTGGACTCCGACCACGCCCTAATACGGGCACGCATCTGCTTGCGCCTCACTGGACGCAAAAAAGCCACATTAAAAAGACCCGTTAGAACTGATTTGAGTAACGAGAAAACCAAAAGTAGGTTCCAGGAACAACTGAGGTCACACTTAGGTAGTTGTGAAGATGAGGCTGACCCAGATGTTGCTTGGAAAGCTATACAAACAGCTGTGGAAACAGCAGTGACATCTATTAGTGACTTAAACCACAGGGTTACAAAGAACCAATGGATTTCCTCTAGGTCTATTGCACTGATGGATTCTCGCAAACTCATCCCATCAGGCTCTGAACACGATGAAGAGCGACAACAAATCAGATCTAGGTTAGCCAAAAGTCTAAGGAACGACCGTGAGCAGTGGTGGGTAACGAAAGCAAAAGAGATGGAAAAGGCGGCGACTATAGGGAACACAAGACAGCTTTATAGACTAATAAAGGAAACTGGAATTAATAAGTCAAGTGTAAGTGAGATTATTTCGGAAAAAGACGATACTCTCATCTGCTCCCAGTCCAGACGTTTAGAACGATGGGTGGAACATTTTAGAGAACAGTTCAACTGGCCTTCAGCTACTCTACAACTACCCTCCATTCCCAGACAGTGTGAATGGAACATTGAAGTAGGTCCTCCGACTCTAGCTGAAGTTCAAAAGGCTATAGTTAATCTGAAACGAGGAAGGGCAGCTGGTCCAGATGGATTGGCTCCAGAGGTCTTCAAGGATGATGGTCTAGTTTTAGCGATTAAGTTAACTAATATTTTAGCTGAAATCTGTGAGTTGGATGTAATCTCTTTTGACTGGTCACAATCACTGATTGTCCCAATATATAAGAGAGGGTCAAAATCATCCTGTGACAACCATAGAGGGATTAGTTTAACTAATATAGTATCTAAAATACTAGCCTCGATAATTATCAGACGCTTAACTAAGACTCGTGAACTGCAAACATGAGAGAATCAAGCTGGCTTCAGACCTGGTCGTGGCTGCATCGACCACATATTCACCATTCGTCAGGTTCTAGAACATAGACATACTTATCGGCGTCCGACAATGGTGGTCTTTCTTGACTTAAAAGCAGCATTTGACTCGGTAGACCGCGAGATTCTGTGGTAGTGTCTGTCATTGAAAGACGTACCTCAGAAGTACATAAACTTTGTGAAGGCTCTTTACTCGAACACTACTAGTCGAGTCAGAGCATATGGCGAACCGTCGTCTGCTTTTGCAACCTCAAGTGGTGTCCGTCAAGGCTGTCCACTTTCTCCATTTTTGTTTAACTTCATCATAGACCTATTGATGGAAAATAACATTCTCGTCGACTGAATTCTCGGGTATTGATCTCCTTCCAGGAGGTTCACTTATCGACTTAGAATACGCGGATGACATAGTCCTGTTTGGTGAAGACGCTGACAAAATACAGAGTCTTTTGGTAGCACTAAGCAACAATGTCAGGATGTTTGGAATGCGCTTCTCTCCCTCTAAATGCAAGTTGTTGCTTCAGGACTGGTCTGCGCCGACACCTGAACTAAGGATAGGGAGTGAAGTAGTCGAACACGTTGACAACTTCACTTATCTTGGAAGTCTGATCAGCCCTAATGGGTTGGTGTCTGACGGAGTCTGCTCACGGATTCGAAAAGCTCGCTTGGCTTTTGCCAACTTACGTCACCTTTGGCGAAGACGAGATATCCGTCTATCAATAAAAGGACGAGTATACTGCGCGGCAGTCCGTTCTGTTTTAATTTACGGCAGCGAAACATGGCCATTAAGAGTAGAAGGCACTCGTAAGCTACTAGTATTTGACCACAGATGCCTCAGAAATATTGCTGGGGTCTGCTGGGATCACCGGGTAAGTAATAGTGGGGTTAGACGCAGGGTATTAGGGAAGGATGGTAAATCAGTCGATGAGGTTGTGAATTTTCATCGACTGAGATGGTTGGGTCACGTGTTACGTATGCCCGAACACCGATTACCACGACGCGCAATGCTGACTAGTTTTGGAGACGGTTGGAAGAAAGTTAGGGGCGGCCAGACTAAGACATGGCATCAGTGCTTGAAGTCACTAACTTCTGATCTGAGCAATGTTGGTAGATGCAGAATAATTGGTTGGGGTCGGCGTGACTGTCGTAGTTAGTGGTTGGAGACTCTTGGTGAGATGGCTAAGAATCGATCACAATGGCGTAGGTGTATATACTGTCTGTCTTCCCTTAAACTAAGAGATTAAAATTGCTTCATATCTTTCTTTCTACGTACTAATTCTTTCTTCCTGTACTATATCCTTATATGCAATCTTTCTTTTATGTATTACCACAACTGAATTAACTACTTTTATGAATCTGGTGTCCATCTTGTTGTGTTAATGAGGTATGGCAACTTGGACCGATGCATAAATGTACCTGGTCCTACGTTGTAGCTGACTGACTGACTGACTGACCAATACTGGACCACCATCCTTGACGACCTCTGGAGTTAATCCATTTGGACCAACTGCTCTTTCTTACTTCATATTAGCTATAGCACTCCGAACTTCAGTCATCAATGTCCCATTAAGGGTGTTTGAAAATGGTGGGTATCTGAAATCCAGCTGAATTGCTCTTTAAAGTGTTCCGCTCATCCCTCTAAACGTCTAAACAGAGAGTAGATTTGAATGTCATCTTTTTCTGAGATTTTTTTCACCTACACTTGACTTCCTAATTACGGTTTCTTTTGCTAGTCCTAAAAGCTGTCTTGTTACCTACAGCCGCTGCCTTCTCCATATGCTTTGCTTTCGTTGCTCACCACTGTTCACTATCGTTCCATGGACTTTTGGTTAACATAGATCTGATTTGTTTTCATTCTTTATCGTGTTCAGACCCTAATGGGATGATCTTACGTGAATCTATCAGTTCAATAGACTTAGTTTTTCATGACCCTTTGGTTCAAATCACCAATAGATATCACTGCTATTTATACATCTTTCCAAGCAACATCTGGGTCAGTCTCGTTTTCAGAATCACCCAAATGTGATCTCGAGTTTTCCTGGAATTAGCCTTTGGCTTTCTCGTCGCTAAGTTCTTAATGTGGCTTTTCTACGTCCAATGAGGTACAAGTAAATGCGCGCTCGTATTAGAGAATGATCAGAGTCTAAACATGTACTCAAGGACGAGTGGCAGTCTTCTATCGAGCCTCTCCAACTATGACTGACGAAAACATGGTCTATTTGAGTTCGTTGTTGATTTAGTGCATGAAGTTACCATGTTAGACAATGTCTCTTCTTATGCTTAGAATTATTGTTTGCTAAAAATAAATGATTGTCTGAACACAGTTACAGCAGATGGTAAGCATTATCTGTTCACTGAGCCAGGATACTCAAATATCCATCTAAATGTCTTTCTGTTTGATTTAAGCTACCTACTTGGGCATTAAAGACACGTGCTACGAGTACTATGTCTGAGTGTCTAGCTTTATGAAGAAATGCAGGAAGCTTTCTGTAAAAGTCGTCTTTCACTTGATCCGGGCTGCACTCAGTGGGAGCGTAGGCAGAAATGATAAAAAGTCAACGACGTGTGTCCCTCTCATTCCAAGTTCTTACGGAGCCTTTTAGCTGAACAGCACATAAATGACTGTTAACGGGGATCCATTCTAACAGAGTCCAGACAATATCAGTGGCGTTCACACAATATTCGTGAATAGTAGCCTACATGTATACTTAGTTTGTTGTTTTCTAAGTTCAGAGTCTTTTTGGTAATATAACGGCTAATATTTTAAGGATTCACTTCATTGTCAGTTTTTGTTAGGTTAAAAGTTTTACATTTAATTTCTTTACTAGATAATCAATGTAAATATATTCCTTTTACAAATCTTACAGCCATGTTCTGGGAATCTGCTGCTGCATATTCACAGATCAATGATATTTTATCACGACCGGTATGTATCATCCATGGTCTTCCTTCTTACTTATTCCTATAGAATCTCACAATCAAAGAACTTCTGGATGATGATGATGTTTTACAAAAATGTCGTGAAAAAGATCCACGTTTAATTAATTTGTAAGTTTTTATTCATCTATCTGGAATTACTCATAATTTCTTTCCTTAGTTTATCAAGGTCAGATAATTTGGATTATCTAATAGATTTAGTTAGTCGAACACCTAAATGTTCTAATTTCAATCGAGATTTGTATAGGTGAGTTCAATTAGGATTATGTAGTCCTTGATAAGTCTTTTCTTGTCAATCCTATTTGTTTTTTTAACGCTGATAATTTCATCTTTCCTGACCACAACATCCAACTAATGGGCTATGTACTTAAACCTTGTTACACTTGTTTGGTTCCCACCGGCCAAGTGGTATCAACCGTTCCTACATTTTTGGTTCAAAGCCGAGTACATAGAAACATCCTAAGCAAATGTTTCTGGTGACTGAGTGTTACTAAGGTTATATCGTATAGTGTTTTAAAGGTAGTTGTCCAGTAGTAACGACTTCAGTTTCGTGTTTCAATTAGTTAGCGCTTGCTTGTCTGTTTTACTAGAGGTGTTCTTTTCTCTTCCATTTCTAACAAAGAGCTCTTAGCTCCAGCTACGACCGTTTATAAACATTTGATGGTTTACGTTAACTTTGATCGTTGTTAAAAAATACTCAGCATAAAACATGTCAGGAGTCAACAAATCCAAAGATGAACTCATTTTACGTGCTAAAAGATGGCTTAATAGTTTTTAGAGAGCTAGGAAGCTAACAAACTGATTTCTTTAATCATATCAATGTATTTACTTATTGAGATAGAGATAGCACAACAATATCTTGGTAAGTATACACATTATTAGGATTAAACCAGTCAGTTTGTTAGCTCCCTAACTTATTAATGTCGTTCTCCCGACCGAGGCTGCTACCTTGACGTGGTGGTCGAGCTTGCCTATCGTGATGACCCAACCGAGCTATATTGGCTGGAACATATGTTCCTGCAGGTTCTACCATGCCAGGCGGGTCGATTGGAGAACGGTAAGACTGAAGGCAGCAACTCAAGGTCTGAGGGCGAAGTCGTACTGTTGACTGTAGAGGGGTGTTACTGCAGTAAGGTGTTTCCCTCGGACAACCAGCATCTGAAGCGATGTCGCCTTCCCACAAGGATGGAAGGGGTTAGAAAAGGTCGACCCTAAAAATGTCACACCTCACCTTACCTCACGGATTTCCGTCTCCGGCGGTAAGGCCCTTCGAAGAACGGAGCTAACACAATTAAAAACCTTCCACGAGAAGGCCGTGCGCGACCGGCCTCAAGTAGTTGTCCCTTGGGCTCTGCGGTCACACTCCCATGTCGTTAAGACCAACACTAATCCGACTTCGTTTTCAGGTTCTTCAGAAAACACCATTCCACAGTGTGAGCAGCTGGGAAGTGATATCAGCCCTCATACCCGTAACAGCACACGAGACCAAGTTGGTCACATTCAAATCCTTCCTGACTGACTGAATATCCTTCACATGAATTTAATACGGATTAGTATTTGTACAATTGATCAAATTTGTTGATAAACCGAATGTGCATAATTCTTTTCAAGTAGAAGTCGATGTACGGGCGGGACTGGAATCTTTCAATATGAATACTATGGTACAGTACATCAAGTTGATAGGTCAAAAACAAGATGGAACACGCGTCTTAATTTACACTTCTCAGGTATACTTTGTACAAACACTATATTAACTGAGTTTACTAGTGTATGCTGACTAAAAAGCAAATAAGTAAAGTCAGTCAGTCAGTCAGTAACAACGTGGAACTTCGTACGTACGTACATCAGTCCGAGTTGACACACCACAATAGCACACAGATGCAGTGGTCGATTCAAATCCCGTAGTGATAGAGGTGATAAGGGTATAAGCAGTAATCGGGAAGATTGGTGTTTGGAGATGTTACTTAAAGAGTATAATACAGTGAAATAAATTTGGAAAGAGGAAAAAAGGGACATGAAGAATTCAGAAGATTAGAATTAGGGAGAACTCAAAGAGTGGATGCATCTGCGCCACTGAAAATGATTTTGAGCCATATCATTCAACAGCTCTCACCATCAGTTGCTATCATCGCGCGGTCCCCAACCAGGTAGTCTACACCTACCAACATGACTCAGTCCACTTGTCAGCGACTAAATGGATTAGTGCCTTATTTTGGTCTGGCCGCCCCTAGCTTTCTTCAAACCCACTCCAACACCAGAAAACATCGCACGTCGAGGCAGTCGATCGTTGGGCATACGTAACACATGTCTCAGCCATCTCAACTGATGAAGTTTTACTATTTCACCAATTGATTTGCCATCCTTACCTAGCACCCGTTTCCTAACAACTGAGTTGCTTACTCGATGGTCCCAAGATATACGAGCAATATTTCGAAGACATCTATGATCGAATACTAGTAACCTACGAATATCATCTACTCTTACCGGCCATGTTTCACTGCCATAAAGTAGGACGGAACGAACTGCTGCGCAGTAAACACGTCCATCGTTTGGTAGACGGATATCTCGCCTACGCCATAAATGACGCAAGTTGGTAAAAGCTAGACGAGCCTTCTGTATACGTGCTGAGGTTTCGTCACACACCAGACCACAAGGGCTGATGCCCCCAAATGCCCTAGTACGGCCGAGAGTGGGGAGAATCAGCTATCCCTCTCGAAATGCTCTCACATCGCCACGTGAATACAACCACTGTCAGGGAAGTCCTACTCAATGCATTCTTTCGGAGGGGGTGGTTTTTACAAAATTGAGAGGACGAGAAGCAAATGCCCGGCGTTTTAACCGGGTTGGTGGACACGGAGAGACCACGTTGGGGAGTTGGAAAACACTGATTCCAAACCAATGGTGCACTGGGCTTCAGCGTCCTGAAGGAACAAATGGCCTATGAACCAATCGTTTGTCACTGGCTACCGTGCGACTGCATCTCCTTACGATCCTCCACTGCCTTGTGGATCAGACCTTTAGGTAGAAGGTTCCGGATGTGGTCCCCTAAGGAAACCAACCGCTTCGGTTTGGGCACCCAGGCAGTATCACAGCCCTCACACATATCAAATGAGATTTGTGTGGCGCATATGTATTTGGTGCCTTCTTGAACCAATATCTATGTGTTAAAATAAATAAATAAATAGTCTGCTCTTCACGAGCTTTGGTTAAGCGTTGAAGTATTATTGAAGCTTATATTTTAGACACTATATTAGTCAAACTGATTCCTTTGCGATTGTCACAACAGGATTTTTGTCGTTTCTTACAGACTTTCACAATCAGTGATTGAGATCAGTCAGATGGGATTACGTCCAGTTCCCAAATTCTACCTAAGATCTCAGTTAATCTCACTGCTAATACTGGACCACCATCCTTAAAAATCTCAGGAGTAAATCTGTCAGGGCCTGCTGCTCTCCCTCGCTTCAGATTTCCTATGGCTTTTTCAACTTCGTAAAGAGACGGAGGACCTGCATTAACTTGCCATTCAGGTTACCTGGAGATCGTAGGAAACCGAAGTGTAACTGAAGGCCAGTTGAACTGATCCCTAAAGTGTTCTACCCATCTATACAATCTCCTGGATTGAGAATGTATAATATGTCCATCTTTCTCTGAGATTGCTTCGCTAACGGTCGGGTTCCTAATTCCGGTTTCCTTAACAAGTCTGAACAGTTGTCTGTCGTTGCCTATTGCCACTGCCTTTTCCATCTCTCTTGCTTTCGCTACCCACCACGGATCACGATCATTGCGTAGACTTCTTGTCGGCTTGCGCTTAAGCTGACTCCGCTTTTCGTTATGTTCAGGACCAGGTGGAATGAGTTTTCGAGCATCTATCAGTGCGATAGATGCTGCTGAGATCCAGTGTTGCTCCCTAACCTTCTGGTTTACCGTACTTGCAGACATCACTGCTGTTTCCACAGCTTTTCGGATGTCATTCCACAATGCCACGGAGTGGGCGTCACTTACATGGCTGCCTAACTGTTTTTCTAGTTGTTCCTGAAATATACTCTTAGCTTGACTATCATTAAGTAGGACCCTAAGAGGTTTCCTTGCAGTGTCTTTCCTACGTCCAGTAAGACGCAGACAGATACGCGCTCGTACTAGAGCATGATCTGAATCTAGGCATGTGCTCCAGAATGAGCGACAGTCTTCTATCGAGCCCCTCCAGCGGTGGCTGATAGCGATGTGATCTATTTGGGTCCAACGTTGGGACGAATTAGGGGGTCGCCATGTAAAAAGATGTTTTTCCTCATGCTTAAAGTTAGTGTTTGCAAGAAACAGGCGGTTATCTGAGCAAAACTGCAACAGACGGTCACCGTTATCTGTCCTTTGAGCCACAATACTATAAGATCCACCCATGTGTCCTTCCCTTTAGCTTAGTTTACCTACTTGAGCATTAAAGTCACCAGCCACTATTACTACATCAGAGCACCTAGCTTTTCGGAGAAGGTCCGAAAGCTTTCTGTAAAACTCATCTTTTACATCATCTGAGCTGCAGTCAGTGGGAGAGTAGGCAGAGACGACGAAGAGGCAACGACGAGTGTCCCTATATTTCCGAGTCCTTACTGTTCCGTTTAGTCGAACAGCGCACAAACGACTGTCTACTGGGATCCACTCTAAGAGAGCTAGTTCTGCCCTAGGACTCAATGCTATACCTACGCCAGAGAGGCCACGGGAAGCAGAATCAGGGCTTCCAGATCCACGGATCGTAAATCGAGTCGGTTCCTTATTTTGGCATGGTGAGGTCAAATGAATGACGCTACTCGGATCCTGTATGCGCGTTTCGGAGACGCAGCACACATCGATGGCGCGAGATTCTAAAGTTCTAGCTAAGGAAGCCTGTTGTCCTATTTGGCACAGTGTCCGGACGTTAAAAGCTCCTACGTGTAGTTTAGATCGTGGTTTCAGGAGACCAGGAATAACGTTCCACGTACTCGAATCGTTTGCCCTAGCGGTGCGAGACGATAAAGAGACGTGAGAAGGGTTAGTCATGGAGATAAGAGAGGTATTAGGAGGTGTAGGAAGGATTTGAATGTGACCAACTTGGTCTCGTGTGCTGTTACGGGTATGAGGGCTGATATCACTTCCCAGCTGCTCACACTGTGGAATGGTGTTTTCTGAAGAACCTGAAAACGAAGTCGGATTAGTGTTGGTCTTAACGACATGGGAGTGTGACCGCAGAGCCCAAGGGACAACTACTTGAGGCCGGTCGCGCACGGCCTTCTCGTGGAAGGTTTTTAATTGTGTTAGCTCCGTTCTTCGAAGGGCCTTACCGCCGGAGACGGAAATCCGTGAGGTAAGGTGAGGTGTGACATTTTTAGGGTCGACCTTTTCTAACCCCTTCCATCCTTGTGGGAAGGCGACATCGCTTCAGATGCTGGTTGTCCGAGGGAAACACCTTACTGCAGTAACACCCCTCTACAGTCAACAGTACGACTTCGCCCTCAGACCTTGAGTTGCTGCCTTCAGTCTTACCGTTCTCCAATCGACCCGCCTGGCATGGTAGAACCTGCAGGAACATATGTTCCAGCCAATATAGCTCGGTTGGGTCATCACGATAGGCAAGCTCGACCACCACGTCAAGGTAGCAGCAGTTCGAAAGTAAATCTAATCCTGAATTAACGTCAGATAAGAGAGTCCTGAGCATCTGGTTTGTGTTGAGTGAAAATTTGTCAGGAGTGTGCACAAACAATTTTTAACTACTGCAACGGTTACAACATCATTGACTAGTGTTTTCAGTAGTTCTCCAATGGTTGTCTTTCTATGATAAAGATTCCTTAAAATTTGACATTTACTTTCAGTCATTGGTGATCAAAATGAAACGATAGTTAAGTAGTTTAAAGTTTAGTAATAAATTGGATCATTTGTTCGTTATTGTTGACTGCCTTAGAGTTGTATTGAGAGGGACGGCATAAACTTGAGAGTTTTATTTTCATGCAATTTAGTGATGTCAGTTAATAATGTCTATATGTGCCATCCTGTTTTGGGCACTTAAATTTAATGCCGTTCGATTCTCTTTAGGTACATTTACATCGTTGGCATTCCTTATAAAAGAAGTGGATAGTTAATTTCTTGAAAGGAAAAGGTTATATTCGTTACACGTATATTTGTAGAAAGCTATTTCGTGAGCTGTTAGAAGTATCGTAGCAGGTGTCACTTTCCAATCGCCCATACTCTTATCGGCTATTGTCTTCTTGGTGAATCTGAACAGGCAACTTGATTAGTTGTGCTCTCAGCGACCTGGGAGCATGGTCGTAAAATCCAAAGGATGGCTGCTTGGGCCGGTTACACTATGTTTTTGTGACAAGTTTTCGATGTGTTGGCCTTGAACTTCAGAAGGCCTTACTACCAGAGACGTAGAACTCTGGAGTAATGTGTGACACGACATTTTTGGTGCTGATCTCTTCTAACCTCTTCCTTCCATTGTGAGTAAGAAGTATCGCTGTAGATCTTCAACCACATCTTACTGCTGACACACCTCTATATAATCAGCGGCACGACTCTGCCCTTATACTTTATATTATTGCCTTTAGTTTTGCCGTTGTTCAACCGATCTATCTGGCATAGTACACTCTGAAGTAAAACGTTTTTCAGACAAGACATCTTTATTTGGTTATCACAATCTTCAAAGTCGACCACTAAGTCATAGTAGCAACTACGGTCGGATTAGTTATGGTAAACTATTTTTAAAACTGGATTAATTTTCAAAAGAAAAACACAATTATAATGTTTCTTGCTTCTTGTTTAGATATTCTAGTTTAGCCTGTGAAATTCTAACAAATGACATCAATGAAATACTAGATGGAATAATTGAATTAACCGAATCAACAATTGATCAACATACCCCTAATGAATCACATAATAATGGTAGTAATAACAACAATAATCATAATAATCACATGTTAGAATCCAATCAGATAAAGTCTATACCAATACCATCCTCCTTCTCTTCACCTTTACCATCCTCTTCAATGATTATCAATGATCATAGTTTGACAGAGATCAATAATAATAATAATGATCAAAGTTGTAATGATATGTTAATAGTTGGCAATAATTCATCAGAACTACACCAAATAAATCATAATCTTACTGATCATTATTCGAATGTCCATGATGATGATGGTACCAATCATTTATCATCTTCAATGTCTATTATCAATGAATCATCATTTATTATCAATGGTCATCATAGTAGTCAATTATTTGACAACAATAATCATAATAATTCAGTAAATGATTTAAATGAAATCTTATCATCTAGTTTAAAACTTTCTCCACCAATGTCATTATCAACACCTCATTCATCTACAATCACAAAAATAACTAAATCAAATGAGGCTATTCAAGTTGATTCATCAACGACAACATGTCGACGACGTTTAGATTTATTATTGGAATTTTTTCATTATTCTAATCAACCAGTTAATCCATTGTCAGCTAGTTTTGTTTCACGTTTATTAATACATTTAACATTACATCGTGGAAATATTGTAAGTGTTCATTTTGTTCATTTGTTATATGATTTTATTCATTTTTCTATTTTGTTTTTTTTTGTAGTAGTCAGTCAATCAACTACAATGTAGGATCAGGTATATAAATAGGCATCGGTTCAAGTTGCCATACCTCATTAGCACAACATGATCAACATCGGATTTATAAAAGTAGTTAATTCAGTGGTCGTAATATGTGAAAAAAAAGATTGTATATAGTACAGGAAGAAAGAATTAGTTCGTAGAAATCAAGATATAAAGCAATTTTAATCTCTTAGTTTAAGGGAAGATAGAAAGTGTATACACCGACACCGTTGTGATCGATTCTGAGTTATGTCACTCAGAGGCTAAATGGCTTTTTTGTAGCCTTAATGGTGATCAATTCTAACATTAAATTATAATTGATTCCATATTTTCGATAAAATATACTTGGTTTATGTAACATATTGGATTGATAAATTTAAGAGACTTTTACCGAATTGCTTGAAAATCACTGACAAATAACATAAATTTATCAACTCTTTATTGTACTCTAGATTTTCAACTCTCATATTATTTCATACATTTCATCATTTCATTTTGTTTATTCTTTTCGAATTATATCCGGTTCAGTGGTCTAGAGGTTAAGCGTTCGCGCGTTCGAATCCCGCTAGGCGGGATCGTGTATGTGCATCCACTGAAGAGTCTCACAATAGGACAAAACGGCCGTCCAGTGCTTTCAGGTTTTCCATGGTGGTCTAGCTTCAATTGACTCATGATCTCAACTAATAAAATTACTATAATATCCACAAAAACCCCTTCTGATATATCCTATGTGTTTAGTTTTTTTTTCCTTTAGTGTTATTAGTTTCCGATATGGAGATGTATTTAAATATACTGGTTGGATTACTCAAACGATCTAAACTTACAGACAAAACTCTTGAATGCACAAACTTAACATGAGACTTAATATTTAACATAACTTAATTACCGATTAGTGGTTTATGATTTGATCTTCGCTATTTGTTTGAGGGTATGTTTGTCTGTCAGCCTTTGGGCATAGTGCCCAGTTGTTCATGAAACATGTTTTGTAGAGGTAGAAGACGTGTATTAGCTACTACTATTTGGGCGTCTATGTCTTTACAGCATTGCAGTGTGTGATAAGGAAGTAAGAAACCTAAAGTTCAGCGTAAATGCCCTGGTACGGTCGAGAGTCGGGCGAATCAGCTTTCCCTCTTCGAAATGCTCTCACATAGCCACGTGCATACAACCACTGTCAGGGAAGTCCTACTCAATGCATTCTTGCGGAGGGGGTGGTTTTCACAAAATTGAGAGGACGAGAAGCAAATGCCCGGCGTTTTAACCGGGTTGGTGGACACGGAGAGACCACGTTGGGGAGTTGGAAAACACTGATTCCAAACCAATGGTGCACTGGGCTTCAGCGTCCTGAAGGAACAAATGGCCTATGAACCAATCGTTTGTCACTGGCTACCGTGCGACTGCATCTCCTTACGATCCTCCACTGCCTTGTGGATCAGACCTTTAGGTCGAAGGTTCTGGGTGTGGCCCCCTAAGAAAACCAACTTATTCGGTCTGGGCACCAGGACAGTATCTTAGCCCTCACACAAATCGAATAATTTATGTGGCGCATATCTATTTGGTGTCTCCTTGTACCAATGTTTATATGTTTAAATAAATAAATAAATATCTTCACCAACTAAAGTGTCTAAATATGTAGCGCTTAAGTTAAACCATCATAAATATTTTTATCTTTCAACCGGAATAACTATGTTTCTGTTACAGATTATACCTTATTTACGATCATCAAATGAATTTCTTGATCAGTTATTCTTATCTTTGGATTCTTCCTCTGTGGCCGATTTAATTATACAATTATCTCAACAAGAAACAAAACAACAACATATTATTTTTGAAGTAAGCATTGAAGTTTTCTATTCTGTTCACATTGTACTAATTGTGTAAACAAATAATACCAATAATCATTCAAATATCTTTTACAGAAACTTATTTATTGTGTATAGTCAACATTTCACAAGAATTAATAATCTCTTCCATTGATTTATCACTGAGTAGTAACCGATATCAGATTTTTCTGTTGATAAATGTTGATCAGATTCTCTCTGTCAATTGGCAATTTTGTCAGTAGTCTAATTCGACATTATGTATGTGTACTGTATTTTGGTGTTAAGTAGCTGGAAGAAGTCAGTAGAAAACCTCAGATCTGGGTTTCATGCTAGTTTTCACTTGTTATTGAAATGATTTTATCCTAAGACTATCAAAAATTGCATGTACAATAAGGCAGTAGTAAGTCTCCTGTAATTTTTTGTTACATTCTTTATAAAAGTAGGATGAATCGTTTCAACTAAAATATATTTATCTCAGTCGTATCATCAATTATACCTTACCTTTTATTTAGAATAAGTGGATTGTAGCTAGCAACAGGATCTAGGATACCTGTTTCTTTGTATTTGGAACTCGTCAGCTGGATGTACCCAAGTCCTATTGTTGATATCCATAATGGGACTCAAACTCACTACCTTTTATAATGTAATGTTATGGGATAAAGTATATGTATGTTGTTGATGTGCGAAAATCATGCTTTCTAGTTTTAAAGTTTTTTGTTGAACTCAAGACCAGCCTCCGTTTTTTATCGCGTGCAATGTTTTTGTGAATGCTTGTACCATTGCTACATTGCATATCATCAGGCACTTAGTTATTATGGTAATGTAATACTCGTCACAGTGTAAATTCTCCGTTCCTGTCGTGTGAAGCGCATCAACTTAAATCTTTTCTTAGATTGATGTTTATTATGACTTTTATACAATGTTTCAGGTTTACGTACTTAGCTTCAAGTCATATTACTCATGTGTGAACTGGTATTATAACATGGCTACCCAAAATAAAATAAACGTTAAATGATTTGAATCTGGGAAAATTATCCACCGCTTCATTAACTAATCTTTCTTTACTTCGCTCGTAATAATGTGAACGAGAACACAGGCGGGACACAAAATTCCACAATCTCGTAGTAAAATCTAAAAACTATACGGTAAATACTTCATTTGTAAAATGTCAGTCGATTGTCTCAGACTTGACTGTTCCTTCGTTTCCACACCAAATATTCTCTGTTCTCTTTCTCTTCTCTCCCATCTTCTTACCTTCTGCCTCCAAGCATTTCACTTCTGACTGATGATACATACTACTTATATATGTCGATATCAGTAGCACACATCACAATGGTAGCTAAATGGAGTGTGTCAATCAAATTAATTGATTAATGTAATATCCTTCAGTAAATATGTTGAATATATTGGGATACAATTTACATATTTGTTTTATCTCCAGTGGAATTCAACTGGGTCTGTTGTGAGATAGTAACTCACTGATGATAATGGTGGATATGTCGCTCAATTTCGTGGATTAGTTGAAGTTAGACATTGACACCATTCAATGCCAGCTCAGTGGTCTAGTGGTTAAGCACTCGCGCGCGAGACTGCTAGGTCCTGGACTGGAATCTCGCGAGGTAGAGTCATGGATCCGCACTGTTGAGGAGTCCCATAATAGGAAGAAACGGTCGTCCATGTTTTCCATAGTGGTCTAGCTTCAGTTGACTCATGATCTCAACTATTAAAATTACTATAATATCCACAGAACCTCTTCTAATATTTTTAATTGTTGACTACATTACTTTCCATGTTTTCTCAGTGGTTTAAGACCGATCGACTTGTTGAACGTCTTATTGAAAAATTTGATCCAATCTATTCGTCTGACGTAAGTCTTTTTTCATCACTAATTGTTGCATTACTAGTTGTTTTTCTATAGTAATAAGTGTGATTATTATTATGATTATTTCATGTTGTATCTAGTTGGATTTTTGTCAAAAGAATAGTGTTAATGACATACAAGTTTCAATTCGACATTGGATATCCTAATCTACATACTTTTACACTTTAAACGATTTAAAGTAGATGAATCGAAATAACAAGTTTTCAGTACTTCTGACTAAGTTTAACTAGTTGCAATCAACGTAGAACCTGTCAAAAATATGCGTTGTCCTAGGATCCCATACTAAATCAAGCACCAGAAGATTAATGTGATAAATCATAAAGTAGTCGAAATAATGTATTAGAAATAATAATGACAAAGACTAAACATTGGTGGTATGATTCAAGAAAAAGGCATACTCAAAGGAATACTGGAATTCAAGACTTAAAATCAGACAAAGAGTGATTGGATATTCATTATTTCTACTGATCCTTAGCCATGTCACCCAATATCTCTAACTATTGATCGTGGTTATCGATCTAAATTCAATGATTTGGTCTGTTCTCACTGCATTGATTATGAAATTCTACAATCTGAACAGATACTTGTATGTAGAAGGTCTAACGATGCCTATAAAGAAGACTGGCTACCACTAATGTCAAATTTTGCTAATTTAATCTAACATCATAATGTAAATCATCCATTTGTCGATCATATTCAACTCATTTTGTGACGCTTCATTTCAATATACATGTGCATATTACATAAACAGTTGAACTTATGACTTTAATACAATTGTTTATTGTGTATCAGTAGAACAATGCCTATGTAACGGATTTAGGCAAAACAATCCCTTGGAGTTAACTAGTAGTAATTATCACTAAACTATTCTCATTAACCTTGTTTTTCCTTTACAAGTGAACATACAATTCCAGTAAATACGTTAGTAATATCCAGCCGTTAAGTAAGGTTCGTAAATCTTTTCTTTTCTTTTGAGGATTAACAATACAGTTATTTTGTTTACTGAAATGTAGCTTGGTTATGGGCTGCCAAACCGAAACGTGGCATCAGTGCTTGAAGTCACTAACTTCTAGTCTGAGCCATGTTGGTAGATGCAGACTACTTGGTTGGGGTCGGTGTGACTATCATAACCAATGGTTAGAGACTCTGAGTGATATGGGTCAGAATCGATCACAACGGTGTCGGTGTATTCACTCTCTATCTTCCTTTAAACTATAAGATTAAAATTACTTTACATCTTTCTTTCTACCAACTAGCTCTTTTTTCCTGTGCTACATCCTGATAAACAATATTTCTCTTATATATTACCACCATTGAATTAACTACTTCTATGAATTTGGCGTTCATCTTGTTGTGTTAATGAGCTATGGCACTTGGACCGATACATATGTGTGCCTGGTTCTACCTTTTAGCTAACTGACTGAAATGTAGCTTAGTTAATATTAACGTAAACTAAGTATTGACTTCTATCACTTCCTCATCTGCATTAAGTTGTTTTTATTTTTTATTTTTGTTCAATTATGAATCTTTTGATTACATTTAATATTACTATAGAATTATCTAGGTAAGGTATAAATAGATAAACAAGCTGAAACAACTTAGAATTTGGTCGAATGTCGCCATACTTTGTGTATTAGTACAGGAAGAGAGAACTCGCTAGATACAGAACTGGGTGTAGGTTTATTTATTTGAACACCTAAACATTGGTACAAGGTGGCACCAAATACATATGCGCCACATAATAACAATGTAGTCAGTAATAGTTATCATTTATTTGCGTGAGGACTGTGATACTACCCGGGCGCCCAAACCGAAGCAGGTGGTTTTCCTAGGGGGCCATTCCCTGAACCTTTCACCCGAAGATCTAATCCACAAGGTAGCCGGTAACCAACAATTAGTTTAGACGCCGTTTGTCCCCTCAGGATACTGGAGCCGATGTACACCATTGGATTGTAATCAGGGTTTTTCAACCCCCCTACGCTGACTCTCCATATCCACCAACCCGGTTAAAGCGCTGGACATTGGCTTTTCGCCCTGTCAATTTTGTAAACAACACCTCTGCCGCGAGAAGGCATTGAGTAGGACTTCCTTGACAATGGTTGTATGCACGTGGCGATGTGAGAGGATTTCGAGAGGGATAGCTTACTCTCCTCACTCTCGACCGTACTAGGGCATTTGGGGGCATAAATAGTCTGAAATAGGAACAATAACCAACAGTTTAATAATCTGATTTTGTTGTGTTTATTATGAGATCTTATTGGCCTAGATTGGACTAGATGCCATATAAACTCTTGGCTGAACACCACTGATATGTTTCGAGTTAGAATAAAACAGCTGTTTTATACTCTATATCTTCTTCGCAAATCACTGGTTGACTGGTTTAAGTAGTTGAC